TTCCCGTGCTTCGAGACGGCCGCCGCTCGCTTCGCTCGCGGCGGCCGCTGAATAATAATCTCAATGTTGGATTTTTTGTTTTTTTTGGATTCAGAACGAAAAACGAAAAAAAATTTTGATCGCTCTGCCCTGATCTTTGCCTCGCACTCAATGACGTACCCTGACCTTTTACAATTTTTAGTCCTTAACCTCAGCCATTTGTGTGTCTTGAGTTTTCGGCCTTTTAACTTACCTTAATTAATTTCTTTAAATACTCGACTTTTAAGACTTTCTTTATTCAGAAATCTTTGTCAATTAATTTTTTCAAATCCAGATTACTGATAAATGAACAAATAACATCTTTTCTAAACTGAATAGGTCTTTTGTCTATCTTAACTGGTTAGGTCTTTTGTACTTTATAAACTGAATAGGTCTTTTGCACTATCTTTACTGATTAGGTCTTTTGTACTATCTAAACTGAATAGGTCTTTTGTTCTATCTAAACTGAATAGGTCTTTTGTACTATCTAAACTGAATAGGTCTTTTGTTCTATCTAAACTGAATAGGTCTTTTGTACTATCTTAACTGTATAGGTCTTTTGTACTATCTTAACTGAATAGGTCTTTTGTACTATCTTAACTGTATAGGTCTTTTGTACTATCTTAACTGAATAGGTCTTTTGTACTATCTTAACTGAATAGGTCTTTTGTACTATCTTAACTGAATAGGTCTTTTGTACTATCTTAACTGAATAGGTCTTTTGTACTATCTAAACTGAATAGGTCTTTTGTTCTATCTAAACTGAATAGGTCTTTTGTACTATCTTAACTGTATAGGTCTTTTGTACTATCTTAACTGAATAGGTCTTTTGTACTATCTTAACTGAATAGGTCTTTTGTACTATCTTAACTGTATAGGTCTTTTGTACTATCTTAACTGAATAGGTCTTTTGTACTATCTTAACTGAATAGGTCTTTTGTACTATCTTAACTGAATAGGTCTTTTGTCTATCTTAACTGGTTAGGTCTTTTGTACTTTATAAACTGAATAGGTCTTTTGTTCTATCTAAACTGAATAGGTCTTTTGTACTATCTTAACTGTATAGGTCTTTTGTACTATCTTAACTGAATAGGTCTTTTGTACTATCTTAACTGAATAGGTCTTTTGTACTATCTTAACTGAATAGGTCTTTTGTACTATCTTAACTGTATAGGTCTTTTGTACTATCTTAACTGAATAGGTCTTTTGTACTATCTTAACTGAATAGGTCTTTTGTACTATCTTAACTGAATAGGTCTTTTGTCTATCTTAACTGGTTAGGTCTTTTGTACTTTATAAACTGAATAGGTCTTTTGTTCTATCTAAACTGAATAGGTCTTTTGTACTATCTTAACTGTATAGGTCTTTTGTACTATCTTAACTGAATAGGTCTTTTGTACTATCTTAACTGAATAGGTCTTTTGTACTATCTTAACTGAATAGGTCTTTTGTCTATCTTAACTGGTTAGGTCTTTTGTACTTTATAAACTGAATAGGTCTTTTGTTCTATCTAAACTGAATAGGTCTTTTGTACTATCTTAACTGAATAGGTCTTTTGTACTATCTTAACTGAATAGGTCTTTTGTACTATCTTAACTGAATAGGTCTTTTGTACTATCTAAACTGAATAGGTCTTTTGTTCTATCTAAACTGAATAGGTCTTTTGTACTATCTTAACTGTATAGGTCTTTTGTACTATCTTAACTGAATAGGTCTTTTGTACTATCTTAACTGAATAGGTCTTTTGTACTATCTTAACTGTATAGGTCTTTTGTACTATCTTAACTGAATAGGTCTTTTGTACTATCTTAACTGAATAGGTCTTTTGTACTATCTTAACTGAATAGGTCTTTTGTCTATCTTAACTGGTTAGGTCTTTTGTACTTTATAAACTGAATAGGTCTTTTGTTCTATCTAAACTGAATAGGTCTTTTGTACTATCTTAACTGTATAGGTCTTTTGTACTATCTTAACTGAATAGGTCTTTTGTACTATCTTAACTGAATAGGTCTTTTGTACTATCTTAACTGAATAGGTCTTTTGTACTATCTTAACTGTATAGGTCTTTTGTACTATCTTAACTGAATAGGTCTTTTGTACTATCTTAACTGAATAGGTCTTTTGTACTATCTTAACTGAATAGGTCTTTTGTCTATCTTAACTGGTTAGGTCTTTTGTACTTTATAAACTGAATAGGTCTTTTGTTCTATCTAAACTGAATAGGTCTTTTGTACTATCTTAACTGTATAGGTCTTTTGTACTATCTTAACTGAATAGGTCTTTTGTACTATCTTAACTGAATAGGTCTTTTGTACTATCTTAACTGAATAGGTCTTTTGTACTATCTTAACTGTATAGGTCTTTTGTACTATCTTAACTGAATAGGTCTTTTGTACTATCTTAACTGAATAGGTCTTTTGTACTATCTTAACTGAATAGGTCTTTTGTCTATCTTAACTGGTTAGGTCTTTTGTACTTTATAAACTGAATAGGTCTTTTGTTCTATCTAAACTGAATAGGTCTTTTGTACTATCTTAACTGTATAGGTCTTTTGTACTATCTTAACTGAATAGGTCTTTTGTACTATCTTAACTGAATAGGTCTTTTGTACTATCTTAACTGAATAGGTCTTTTGTCTATCTTAACTGGTTAGGTCTTTTGTACTTTATAAACTGAATAGGTCTTTTGTTCTATCTAAACTGAATAGGTCTTTTGTACTATCTTAACTGAATAGGTCTTTTGTACTATCTTAACTGAATAGGTCTTTTGTACTATCTTAACTGAATAGGTCTTTTGTACTATCTAAACTGAATAGGTCTTTTGTACTATCTTAACTGAATAGGTCTTTTGTACTATCTTAACTGAATAGGTCTTTTGTACTATCTTAACTGAATAGGTCTTTTGTACTATCTTAACTGTATAGGTCTTTTGTACTATCTTAACTGAATAGGTCTTTTGTACTATCTTAACTGAATAGGTCTTTTGTACTATCTTAACTGAATAGGTCTTTTGTCTATCTTAACTGGTTAGGTCTTTTGTACTTTATAAACTGAATAGGTCTTTTGTTCTATCTAAACTGAATAGGTCTTTTGTACTATCTTAACTGTATAGGTCTTTTGTACTATCTTAACTGAATAGGTCTTTTGTACTATCTTAACTGAATAGGTCTTTTGTACTATCTTAACTGAATAGGTCTTTTGTACTATCTTAACTGAATAGGTCTTTTGTACTATCTTAACTGAATAGGTCTTTTGTACTATCTTAACTGAATAGGTCTTTTGTACTATCTTAACTGTATAGGTCTTTTGTACTATCTTAACTGAATAGGTCTTTTGTACTATCTTAACTGAATAGGTCTTTTGTACTATCTTAACTGAATAGGTCTTTTGTCTATCTTAACTGGTTAGGTCTTTTGTACTTTATAAACTGAATAGGTCTTTTGTTCTATCTAAACTGAATAGGTCTTTTGTACTATCTTAACTGTATAGGTCTTTTGTACTATCTTAACTGAATAGGTCTTTTGTACTATCTTAACTGAATAGGTCTTTTGTACTATCTTAACTGAATAGGTCTTTTGTACTATCTTAACTGTATAGGTCTTTTGTACTATCTTAACTGAATAGGTCTTTTGTACTATCTTAACTGAATAGGTCTTTTGTACTATCTTAACTGAATAGGTCTTTTGTCTATCTTAACTGGTTAGGTCTTTTGTACTTTATAAACTGAATAGGTCTTTTGTTCTATCTAAACTGAATAGGTCTTTTGTACTATCTTAACTGTATAGGTCTTTTGTACTATCTTAACTGAATAGGTCTTTTGTACTATCTTAACTGAATAGGTCTTTTGTACTATCTTAACTGAATAGGTCTTTTGTACTATCTTAACTGTATAGGTCTTTTGTACTATCTTAACTGAATAGGTCTTTTGTACTATCTTAACTGAATAGGTCTTTTGTACTATCTTAACTGAATAGGTCTTTTGTCTATCTTAACTGGTTAGGTCTTTTGTACTTTATAAACTGAATAGGTCTTTTGCACTATCTTTACTGATTAGGTCTTTTGTACTATCTAAACTGAATAGGTCTTTTGTTCTATCTAAACTGAATAGGTCTTTTGTACTATCTAAACTGAATAGGTCTTTTGTTCTATCTAAACTGAATAGGTCTTTTGTACTATCTTAACTGTATAGGTCTTTTGTACTATCTTAACTGAATAGGTCTTTTGTACTATCTTAACTGTATAGGTCTTTTGTACTATCTTAACTGAATAGGTCTTTTGTACTATCTTAACTGAATAGGTCTTTTGTACTATCTTAACTGAATAGGTCTTTTGTACTATCTTAACTGAATAGGTCTTTTGTACTATCTAAACTGAATAGGTCTTTTGTTCTATCTAAACTGAATAGGTCTTTTGTACTATCTTAACTGTATAGGTCTTTTGTACTATCTTAACTGAATAGGTCTTTTGTACTATCTTAACTGAATAGGTCTTTTGTACTATCTTAACTGTATAGGTCTTTTGTACTATCTTAACTGAATAGGTCTTTTGTACTATCTTAACTGAATAGGTCTTTTGTACTATCTTAACTGAATAGGTCTTTTGTACTATCTTAACTGAATAGGTCTTTTGTACTATCTAAACTGAATAGGACTTTTGTACCTTGTTGTTGTGTACCATTTTGTCTGGGCACTCGATGTTTACATTTAAAATTTTGAAAGAGAAAGACACAAAGTTTTAATTCTCTTTCATGTGTTATTTTCTTTTTTTTGTTGTCTTTTTATTATTTACTACTTTAGAAAACTTTTCGTTTCAATAAAAATTCTGTTTACTCAATCAAAAAAATTTTCACGTGGACCATTAAATTAATATTATACGAGCGTTTGTTCGCCGCTTCGCGGCGAACAAACGCTCGTTCAAAATTTTTTATAAAGCTTTGAATAAACTAAATGCGTTTGTTGGAAATCGCATGTTTCTTGACGACCAATGACTTTCTTCTCAACCAATGTCTTTCTGATCTTGCTTTCGCACCTTTTCGACTTGCCCTTGTCACTAAATTTCCTGAACTTATCTTATATTGATAGTTTGTTTAGCCCTGATTTGTTACCCTCATTTAATTATCACAAATACCTATCCTGTTAATCCTCCTTATCTTCATTATTCTTTATTTACACAAATTCCGACTCTTTTTGTCCCACTTTTCCGGTATCCCTCTTTTTTCCTTCAATAATATGTATAACTCTGCTATCCTTTTTTTTAGAAAAGATCCCCGCTATCTTTTCTATATTAATTATCACTCTAATACCCAAATCACATATTGATTTTCTCTTGACTTTCTCTGTTCTCTTTCTCGCCTGTTGATGAAACTGATTTCTCGCATTTTGTCTGATTTGTTTTTCCGCCCAATGTCGGACTGTTTTTTTGTTTGGGTGGTTTAACAGTAGAACCAAGCTGGATTTGTTGTTAGATACATATCACTAACAGTTCGTTAGAACGTGATAATATCTAATAATCTTAAACCCCCGCTAGCTCTTCTAACCAACAAACCGCCGTTATCCTTTTTAATACTTCGATATCACCTCTTTCACTTTTTTAATCAATAATACTATTAATTGCCTAAATCTTCAGATATCTCTTTTAATCCCTCGCTTCAGCTAATCCTCGATATTCATCCCAAACCACAAACCTTTAATCCTTTCCAATCCATCGTTTTTTCTCCAACACAGAAAAATCTCTTAATATCACTCCTAATAACCCAAAAAACCCCCCGTTTCACCTCAATATTCAGAATACCTATTTCCCTCTTTATCAATCGCAAAATCCCAGATAACCCTCGCCAATTACTTTATAATCTTATAAATCTCGTGAATCCACTTCTGAATATTAATCGCAGAAACCCTTGATATCTCTGATATCATTCCATTCCACGATTTATTTATTAATCGTCTTCAACACTAATATCTTTAATTCACCATTAATATCTCTTTAAATAATCATAATACTGTGTGTTCTTGCGCCACCGAATTTCTCTTAATTCCACGGCATTTCTTTAGATTCCTTAAATCAATCAATTTTTGTTAATCACTCTTAAGTTATGTTTTTATTCCTCTACTGTATTGTTGTATCAACATTTTTAATTCTTTCGTTAAATATGTTAATCTATTAAATCACTCATAATTTTTTCCCAAATCCCCTGTTTTTAATCACTCAAATACCTGAATAAACTCTTATCTCCACAATCCTTTTAGATTTATGTTAGTCCTCCAAATTCCTCGATTAAATATTAATTTTCTAAATCACAGATGATTTTTTCCCGATAGCCCTAGAAGCCTGGTAATCTCTCAATTTTTCTTAAAACAACCAACAATTTTTAATCACATTTTTCTGTTAAATCACTAAAACCTTCGACAACACCAAATTTCGTGATATTTCTCTTAAGGCATGCGAACTCTCGTTTATCTTTTTTTCCTTCAAATCTGATGATATTTTTATTCCCCAAATTTCACGATATCCCCCCTTAATCCTATCTCAGAAAACCCCCCAAATCACAAATACCTTCGAATCCTTTGATCTTTCTATTAGTCCCCAGCTTCCTTAATCCCCTCAAATACTTCGATCACACTGTTTTTATCCCAAAAGCTCCAAATATATTAATAACAATATATAAATATGAGATTAGTTAATTTCATGTTTCTCCTACTATATGTAATTTTTCAATTAATCTCATTTTCCTCAAATCCACTCAAATCTCTTGATCATTTGCTAAATCCCCATCGTTTTCAAATACGTATGCTTATGTCAATCATCAAATTCTCTGATATCCCTCTTGCTCTAAATCAATTGATTTCTGTTTTTCGCCGAATCCCTTCAAAAATCTTGATCGCACACCTTTCGTCCGCCCTCAAATCCGCTCAAATTCCTTTATCCATCTCATTCTCTGATAATACTCTTTCCATTCAAATAGTTTTTTTTGAAAAACATCAAATTCACTGATATCCTTATTGCACTCCAAATCCGTTGTTCTCTCTTTTTCCCTAAATTCCCCAAATCTTCTCAAATCACATGATACATATCTCTTTCAGTCACATTTATCCCTTGATATGTCGCTTTTCCTTCCAATCCTTCAAGACCTTCCTTCAAAAACTATTAACATCCCCATTTTCTTCAGATCCATCTTTCTAGTAATTCGCAAAATCCCATGTTGTCCTTTATTAATTCAAATTACTTGACCTCTCCAATGATGTCCAAATTCGTCGTTATGCATTCAAATCTCCCGGTCCCTTTTTATTCCCTTGAATCCTTGTTATCTATACCCCGAAACCTTTGATGTTAATTTCCTTTTACAACACTATTAATCCACCAAATCCATTGATAAGTCTGCTTTAATATTAATCTAATAAATCCCTCGGTATTTCGCACCGTATTATTTTTTTAATCCCTCAAAACCACCATATATTTTTAAACTTTCAAACCCCTAGAAATCTCTCGATCTCTCGAACTCCAAATCTCTCAATCATACAATTATTTCCCAACAATCCTGGTTTCATTTTTATATTCCATTTCCCAATATCACTTGTTATCTATGTTAATCCCCTCAAATAATTGTTCTCGTCTTAATCACCCGATATTTCTTTTAATGCACAATTCAATAGATATCGGAAATCCCTCTTTATTTCTGATATTTAACCGAATCTCGTTAACTCTATAAATTTCCTGATATTCAGTTTAATCCTTCATAACCCTTGTTTTGTCCGTTTTTCTTCAAAACAATCGATATCTTTTAATATCCAAAATTCGAAGAGGCCACCATAAATCCACTCAAATTTATTGTTATCTGTTGATTCCCAACGCGAATAGCTCACTCAAAACATTTATCCCTTTTAATCACTCCGAAAAATAATATCTTAAATTCAGAACGTTGGCGAACTCTAAACCAAAATTTTAATATATGTATGTTCCATTTATTCCATGCCTCATAATTCCTCAATTTCACCACAAACCCTCGGAGGCCCTCTCAATCACTGATAAACCCTTGCTTTCATTCATTTTGATGAAGTATAAGCCTAAAATCGCAGTAAGTGCTTTTATTTGATCTAATCCACCAATATCACTCTTATCCACCAAGATACCAATTATCCCTCTTAATTGCCTTTAATCCTCAAAACTCCTTTAGTCACACTCGCTCTTTATTCCCTTATTTGTTAGCTCCTAATATCCCAATCATTTAACTAATAGCAAACAGAAAAATGAACGAAAAAAAAACGAATGAAATAGAAATTAATAATTTTAACAAATTAATTTTCTTACTGCAATCGCAATCTAAAAATTGCCAAATCATATTCTCTTTTAAAAGCCCCAAAACTGCCTACATTTTTTCAATGTTTTTAAATAATATTTTCTATCAAAACCCGAATGTCATTATAGCAGGATTCCGGATAACGGGGGAGCGCGGCCATAATTTTCTGGAAAATTTCTGATCCGTATTAATTTTGGCATCAATTTTTTGAATATCGTTTAAAGTTTTTTTAGAGGAATCGTTTAATACCAAATTTGGTAAAAATTGGAAATCAAATCTTGAAGCAAGATTTGCCATTATGCTGTTATTTCTGCGAACCTTTTAGGCGTGTCCCCAGAAATCCAGTGCTTCGCAACGGCCGTGCTTGCTTAGCTCGCTGCGGCCGACAGACAAAAACTACTATGATGTGTTTTAAATGTTTTTAAAACCTTTTTAACCCAATATGTTCCAAGTTTAAGGTTAACTTAAAATGCAATTCAACTTTTAGTTTGATTGGGTGTTTGAACTTATAAGCCTGGCTAGATCTTTTTAAACATTGAAGCTGATTAGGTCTTTTCTACTATCTAAGCTGATTAGGTCTCTTGTACTATCTAAACTGATTAGGTCGTTTGTATTATCTTAAATGCTTAGGTCTTTTGTACTATCAAAGTTTATTAGGTCTTTTGTTCTATCTTAGCTGTTTTGGTCTTTTGACTATCTTAACTGATTAGGTCTTTTTGTACTATCAAAGCTTATTAGGTCTTTTGTACCTTGTAGTTGTGTTCCATTTTGTCAGGGCACTCGATGTTTACATTTAAAATTTTGAAAGAGTCAGAGGAAAATCTTTTTCTCTTACTTAGTATGTTATTTTCTTTTTTTCAACGCATTGTTATTGTTTACGACTTTAGAAAATTTTCGTTTCAATAAAAATTCTGTTTACACAATCAAAAAAATTTTCACGTGGACCATTAAATTAATATTATAAATAAATCAAAAACATTTAATTATTGCTGTTCCTACAAAACCCTCTCAAAGCTCTTAGCTTCTCTACAAACCCCTTAAACCAATTTTTTCCTTCTTTTATAACAAATCCGCTAGTTCCCAAAACTTTAACTTATAGTTTTTTCAAAAACACTGATTCTCTATTAATTCATCAAATCCTTAGATATCTCTTTTAATTTAACAATCCTTTTTATTACAAATTGAGCACCTAAAATCACGTTATCCCGTCAAATTCCACGTTGGTAATATAAATCGCATCAAATCCATTGTTAGCTTTTATCGCAAAACCTTTAGATATCTTTGATAGGCTTAGATCTACGTAAAACCTTGAATGTCTTAGCAGCAAGATTCCCGTGCTTCGAGACGGCCGCCGCGAGCGAAGCGAGCGGCGGCCGTCATTTTATAAGTTTTAGTGGTCAACAAGTTTTAGTGGTCAACATTTTATAAGTTTTAGTGGTCAATCAAAAAAATTTTCACGTGGACCATTAAATTAATATTATAAATAAGAGAAAAACATAGGGCAAATTAGGAAAATACTTTAAAAAGCTGGGATTACCCGGGCTGTTCCACATTAGCAGAGCTGTAATTTTTGAATAAATTAGGGTAAATATTTGAATTTTTGAAACATTTGTTCTGAAACATCACCGGAAACATTTTATAAGTTTTAGTGGTTAATGGAATCGGGGTTAACTTATTTCTTTACTTGGGCTGGAACAAATTTCTACTTTTTTGGGGGACTATCCGTCTTTCTTTTCATAGCAAAATTACCTGGGTTGAGCTGACTTGGGTTGAACACTATGGAATATAACTAAATTTCGAACAACTGGGACAGTTTCTCTAGGTGACCCGGGCCGAGAGGTGTTCCAAGACAATGCCGTCTATCAGCACGTTTTGTTATAAACTTACCTAGGCTACCACTTGATATCATTGCCAAATATAAAGGACTCAGTGGCCATAGTGTTGGAACATCTCGTATAATGGGTGATACCCAAAATGCTCGCGGAGAGGGCATATTTAATGTGGAGTGGGCATCTTAGTGGAACTGTTAGGCGAGCCGAAATTGCATTGTCGACTGAGAAATAAATTTTAATTTAATTCTCCACCGAATGGAAGTAAAGTGAAAGTAGTACATTGAGAAAGACCAAAATTGCGTAGTGAAAATCGTCCCCCTAAATATTGTTTCTTTAGCTTCAGTGTTGTTTTTAATATTACTGTCAGCTTTTCTGTACACAGGGGTCATCCCAATTTTAACTACTACCATTAAATTAAATAACTACTATTAAAGCAACCACTTTTACTATTTAAACAACCACTTTTGCTAATTCTACGACCACTTTTTGTTTTCTTTCTTGCTTAACTCTCTTTCCATTTATTTTTCTCATGATGGCGCATAGCTTGGGGTTGCATTTGGTCCATTTCTCTTTTCGCCTCGACTTATATTATTAGAAAAGTGGTTGTTTGTTGAGTACAATTGTAAAAGTGGCTGAGTGCTGGCGGAAATGGAAAATAAAGTGGCTGTTGCTGAGGAAAATGGAAAGGAAAAATGTATAGGAATATAAATAATTCTCGATTTAGCAGATTTCAAGTCCTTCCGGGTTACTTGGTGCCTTCTTATGTAAATTCTAATCGTCCAATCAACACGTTTATGCTACAATCTGCAGACTCAACTGTACTTCTATTTTCAACCGTTTTAAATCGATTTGTAATGATTTCAAAAGGCGCTGCGGATGTTTAACGGATAAGCTTGGTCATGGGCAGTCAGCCGATTCAAATCTTCGCGGATTTGGTGTTGACCTGGGGGCAGCTTTGCAGTAATATATTAACATGAATGGATTTGACAAAATTCCTAGTTGAAAAATGCTTAACGGTTGAATCTCGATGAAAGAGAAAAAATGAAACTAAATGTAGCCTTTTGGCTGATTGGTGAAGTAAAAAGTTGAGATTTTGTGTTGAGACGAAGCGTCCTCGTCGAAGGATGTGAATTTTATGCCAATTCATTGCTGAATTGGCAAGAAGAGAAATCGGTCGGTTCGGTACACTCTTAGAGTGTCTCGTAAAGCCAGCAAGTGACCCGAGATTGGTTGTGAGACCAAATCTGTCTCGCCTCGTGTGTCGTTCTGGCGCCGGCGGTGCTCGAGTATGTTATTGTGCATCTTGAAGCTTTTCAGTAAGATTCGTTCTCTTTAAAGCTCGAGTGAATCTTACCTGAAATTACGAGATATCTGGTTGATCCTGCCTGAACTGATGTGTTCATTTCAAAGATTAAGCCATGCATGTATAAGTTTAATCGTTTTAACGAGAAACCGCGAACGGCTCATTACAATGGCCATGATTTACTTGATCTTGATTATCTAAATGGATAACTGTGGAAAAGCTAGAGCTAATACATGCACCAAAGCTTTGTCCTCTCGGAAAAGCGCATTTATTAGAACAAAACCACGCGGCTTCGGCTGCTTCTTGTTGACTCAGAATAACTAAGCTGACCGCATGGCCTTGTGCCGGCGGCGTGTCTTTCAAGCGTCCACTTTATCAACTTGACGGGAGCATAATCGACTCCCGTGGTGGTGACGGATAACGGAGGATCAGGGTTCGACTCCGGAGAAGGGGCCTGAGAAATGGCCACTACGTCTAAGGATGGCAGCAGGCGCGCAAATTACCCACTCTCGGCTCGAGGAGGTAGTGACGAGAAATAACGAGATCGTTCTCTTTGAGGTCG